GGGAGAAAGAGGTAGACCGATAGTGAGAGGGGAGAGGAGAGAGAGAGACAGGGGAGGGAGAGGGAGGGAGAGGGAAAAAGAGGTAGACAGAGAGAGGAGGGGAGAAAGAGAGCGAGATAGATAGAGAGAGACAGAGAGAGAGGAGAGAGAGAGAGAGAGACAGGGGAGAAAGAGGGAGGGAGAGAGAAAAAGAGGTAGACAGAGAGGGGAGGGGAGAGAGAGAGGGAGGGAGAGAGAGGGGGTGAGGGAGATAGAGAGAGAGGAGGGAGAGGGAGGGAGAGAGGGGAGGGCGAGAGAAAGAGGGGAGGGAGAAAGACGTAGAGAGAGAGAGAAAGGAGGGAGAGAGAGAGACAGGGGAGGGAGAGGGAAAAAGAGGTAGACAGAGAAAGGAGGGGAGAGAGAGAGAGAGGGAGGGAGAGAGAGGTGGTGAGGGAGATACAGAGAGAGGAGGGAGAGGGAGGGAGAGAGGGCATGGAGAGAGAAAGAGGAAGGAGAGAGAGACAGGGGAGGGAGAGGAAGGGAGAGGGAGGGAGAGAGAAAAAGAGGTAGACAGAGAGGGGAGGGGAGAGAGAGGGGGAAGGAGGGAGAGAGAGAGAGAGAGAGAGAGGCATAGAGGAAGAGAGTGAGAGAGCATAAGAGAGAAGGGAGGGAGAGAGGGGGAGAAAGAGAGAGAGAATGAAAGAGAGAGACACTGCATCTTCAATTTATCTTTCCAACACTGCACACCCGTCTCTCTGATCTCACCAAACAGGTGTCCCTCTTTGGTTAAAGGAGCAGTTTGTCAAAAGCTCTAATTTAGCCCTCTTACCCCAAATACAGTTAATCAGCCAAGACATGTTTGGTGTCTGAAGTCTGCTGTCCACAATTTCACACTGGTCAGCTGATCTTCAGCCTCTTCCTTCAGCATCAAACTTCACCTAATTGAACTTATCATTCACTGATTACCCTAAAAGTAGTTTAGTAGTTTGGTGAAAAATCATATTTGCACAATTTTTCATTTACACCAGAAAAACTGCGGATGTAATGTAGCGTCCACTGAGAGTCAGGTTCTGCAGGGGAGGTGGAATTAGGCACAGCACACCTAAAATCACTGCACTGAGTAACACTGTGGAGGTCTGTTCACTTTCAAAGCTCACAGTAGGTTCTAATGTGTCCTGAGCAACGAAAACCTGGTTTGAGCTGGTGGAGAGAGGATTTAGGGATGTACGCTTTGTTTGTGGACACCTGCTCCTCCAGCGTTTCTTCTGAAATGAAGGGTATTAATAGGGAGTTTGCCCCCCTTTGCTGCAGTAACAGCCTCTACTCTTCGGGGAAGGCTTTACACTAGATGTTGGAACACTGCTGTGAGGATTTGATTGAGAATCAGTGAGGTCAGGTACTAATGGTGGATGGTCAGTTCTGGATTCCAAGCTCATCCCAAGCTCATCCCAAAGGTGTTGGATGGAGCTCCGTCCTCTTTTCTCAACACCTTCACTGTCCTTTGGAATTCTGTTGACTTTCATTATTATTATTTGATTATTTATTTTTGTATTAATTTGACTGTTGTTTAATGCTTTTGCTGTGGGGCAATTTTGTAGTTATAGTTATTGCGTATGTTTCACATTGCTTCTGTAAAAGTGACCTGAGTATAGGAAAGACTCAGTATGAATTAAAGTATAATAATAATAATAATAATAATAATAATAATAATATTTTGTTGTTGTTATAAAATAATAATGGTATTGATAATAATAATTTATATTACTATTTTGTCCATATAATTTCACATAATCATTGTGGTTATTATTATTATTAGTAGTAGTAGTATTAGTAGTATTAGTGTTGTTATTATTATTAATAAAATAACTCATTATTATTTCTACTACTACTAGTGTTGTTGTAAAAGTCTTATTGTTACTGGGACATTGTGGGTGAAGTGGGGTATTTGCTATGGTGATGGTAATAATAATAGTAATAATAATAGTGAAATAATAATAATTGTATTAATAATAATAATTCAGATTATTATTATTTTATCCATATAATTTAATATAACCATTGTTTTCATTATTATTACTAGTATTGTTGTTGTTGTTGTTGTTGTTGTAAAACTCTTATTTTTACTGGGACACTGTGGGTGAAGTGGGGTATTCACTATGGTGATGGTACAGTCGCTGGTTGCAATGCCACCCAGGCAGGGGGGTCACCGTCTTCCCTCCTGGGCACAAACACACAACCCTGGAGTTCCTCCAAACACTGAGGCCTAATGAACAGTTCCATTTAAACATAATCTATGCCCTGAAACTGGTTTGCAGTGATTTACTTGGCTCTTCAAGATTTCATAACAAATCCCTCTCTCATTAGTGCCCCCTGCCAGCTGGCATCGCCACAAACAAGCCAAAGAGCCGAAAGAAGAAGCTGTTTTTCCTCTTTGACATCTTCGGGCTATGAAGCCAACCACTGACAGCATCCTCAGTAAACCGCACCAAGGAAAAAAGTACAAAAAATCCCAGCCGATGTTTCCTTCAGCACTCCCAGCGCAGTAAAAACACCAAAGGGCACTAAACCAACAGGAGGAGAAAATTCAGTCAAAGAATGTAGATCTTCAATCAGTTAAACAGGCTGATTTGTTAAACGCTCAGAAATGGAGCTCACAAACACGAAGCGGCGCTTTGATTCAGCTGTTTGATCATCGTCTCATTAGCTACATTACTCATTCAATGGATAATGTTAAAGGGGAATTCCACCCATTTCTCAAAATTTCGACATAATGCAATGGCTAAGACGTAAACAGAGTCAACCAGAGCGGTTTGGTGTGAAATGGTTCCTTTGGAGAGACTCCTTCTTTACAGTGGTGGTGACTGGAACCAGGGGTCATTATCACTACAACACAAATACAGCCATTTTATTTACTATCCAAAACAACCAGTGAACCTGCACGGGTCTTCTGCGCTTTTATAAGCAATGTTGTTGATGGTAAAATAGCAATAAATCTGAAAAACAACAGTCCTTTCTGTACTATTTTGCCATGCAACACCCTGCATGTACCTCTCTGCCCAATATTTATGGATTTTAGATCTTCAAAACGAGCATAGAACAAGGCCCCAGGCATCAGGTATCATATTCATACATTTCATTTCATGTAATAATTGACTGCAAGGAGCTTTTTCAGTGATTAAACTCTTCAGACGTCTGGTTCCTATCACCACCACTGTGAACAATTCTGACTCAGGACGTTTCTCTAAAAGGCATGTTTCACACCAAATCAGCCTAAATGACTTTGTTTACATTAACCATTTAATTATGCAGAAATTTTTCAAATTCAGTGGCATTCCCCTGTTTAATATTTATAGCTTTATCACATGCATGCTTTCATGATCTGAACCAATGTTGATAACATTATGCTGCACTGTGCATCAAATGCGAAAGGCCCACAACTGAATATAAATGCAGCAGATACGTATCAATTTTGCATGGAAAAATGGCTTATTTGCTGTTTATTACCGTTAAGCCTGAGCATGAATGTGAAATGACCTGCGCTAGCAATAGTGCTGCCACTGCTGCCCGTCCAGCAGAGAGAATGTGCCCGGCTAAATGTGACAGAATCATCTCCACGACGCTTCCCCTCCTGCTGCCCTAAAACATTTCATGTGCAATCTGCTGCTTATGTAACCATGCTGCTAAAATCGTACTCATCCGAGGGCTACGTGGTCCCACTTCTTAATCAGGGGGTCAGTCAGGGCCCTCCTGCTCTTTGGGGTGTCAGCGGCCACTGCTGTTTTCCTGACCTCATTATGCTGGCGTCCTGTCTCCTCTGTTCATGCGGATGTCGGCGGCTTTTTCTTTGAACTGTAATCCTGAGTGAGATTATTATTTACAGGATGTTTTGTGTTGCTGTTGTTATGCAGTGCAGAAGTGTCATCAGGTGCGATGAGTCGGAGAGCTATTGTTGTTTGTTTGTTGGTATAACTGGACGCAAATGGACTGCATATCAATCCAGCTCACACAAAGGGCCTCACAGTTCCATTACATTGGGACAGTGAGTTGAATAAAGAGGAATTTCGGGCTGATTCAACAGCTGAGATGTAAATAAAGTCTGTCAGAGTGGTTTGATGTGAAATGGTTCATTGCAGAGAAACGTATAGGCTCAGATGTCTATACAGTGGTGGTGATAGGAACCAGAGGTCTGACGTCTAAAACTATATATATGCAAAGATTTATGTATATTTTTAAATATTTACTATAAACACCCAGCAGTGATTTTTCATTTATAGTTTTTATTTTTACAGGGTAAAATAGTAGTGGAAATCAGCAAAAATAGGGTTCCTTGGGAACTATTTTTGCCGCACAACGCCCTGCATGTACTCCTCCGCCATGAATGAATGTAAAAAATAGGTCAAAACCATCACAACACTAGCATAAAACAATGTCCCAAGCATCAGGCACCGCATTCATAATCGCCTCATGTAGTAACTTTGTGTGGGGGAGCTTTTAATGGTGGATGTCTGGTTCCTATCACCACCACTATAAATAATTCTGTCTCAGTAAGTTTCTGTACAACAGAGAATTTCAAACCAAGCCACTCTGAATGACTATGTTTACATTTTAACCTCATAATTAAGTACCCATTTTGAAAAATTGGTGGAGTTCCCCTTTAAGACACCCTCCCACAGAAGTGCTCACACGTTCATAGTACAATATCCCAATTAAACAAGCTACACGCTCCTAGTATGATAGGATATGAGGTGTTTCTTTCAGTGCACCCCCCGTGTAATCTCATTATTCCTAAGCTTGTGTGGACAGTAATGCCATATCTTTGCATAAATCCACTGGACAAACACTAAAACATGAGCTTTCCTCAAATCTAGCCTGGGTCAAACATCATTCCACTGCTGGATCATTGAAGACTACTTGCTCAGCCACGTTCAGCACCCAAACAAGCTGCTCTCAATCAGCAGGTAAACAAATGCAGCAGCAGCCCAGTCGAGTCTGTCATTAAGGCTGACAGCCGAGTGTCTTACCTCGCTGTAAAGTCCGCGGTTAAGCCGGCCGGAGTGTTTCAGAGCCGCTGTTTGAGCGCTTTCTCTCCGCTCTCTGATCAACAGCCGCTCTCCCTTCAAACGCCGCAGCCAAATATCCAGCGCACTGACGGAGATGCCCGCCGCACTTCCCCCCCACCGGAGCTGCGCTTTTCCCCACCCGTATTCATACAAGCCACGCCCCCTACGCTGGGATTGGCCGGGGGTATCCCCGCCTCCTGCGCAGGGATTGGCTGATGGAGTCTCAGTTGTAGTAACTGGCTCCATTTACTCACCTCTGTGCAGCATTGACAAAACACGATGGTTCTTCATTGGTTCTTCAGTAAAGGAAATGGTTCTATATAGAACCATGAACACTCAGATAACTTTTGCATGATGTAAGAGTTCTTTGCGTTATGAAAGGGTTCTTCAGAAATGTGCTGTAGATGGTTCTATAGATATATATAGATCTTTTTTGAAATGCGTTCTATATAGCACCAAAAAGGGTTCCTCTGTTTTTACATGCCTGACATCGTAACAGTAGAAGAACCATCTACAGCAAATTTTCCATCAGTCTGAAGAACCCTTTCATGATGCAAAGAACCCTTTAATCATACAAAGGGTTCTTTCAGTGTTCATGTTTCTATATAGAACCACTTTCTTTACTAAAGAACCCTTGAAGAACCACCTTTGTAAGCGTGTAGAATGAAGAATTAGAGTCAGAGTCAGAGGAGCTAAACAGATAACAAATAGCTCTTTAATGGTTCTTAAGTAAAGACATTGGTTCTATATAGAACCATAAACACTCAAAGAACCCTTTGCATGATTTAAGAGTTCTTTGCATCATGAAAGTGTTCTTCAGAATGTGCAACAGATGGTTCTATCTAGAATATTTTTGAAAATGGTTCTATATAGCACCAAAAGGTGTTCTTCTACTGTTATGATGTCAACCTTGTAACAATAGAAGAACGCTTTTCAAAAAGGTCCTATATAGAACCACCTACAGCACATTCTCTATCAATCTGAAGAACCATTTCATGATGCAAAGAGCCCTTTAATCATGCAAAGGGTTTTCATGGTTCTATACAGAACCATTTTCTTTACTAAAGAACCCTTGAGGAAGCATCTTTTTTAAGTGTGTAGAATAAAGAATAAGATGTGTGAATATCTGTACATATGCAGGTCTGGGTAGACATGTAATATCATATAAATAACTATTATATACAGAATATTAGAGTATACACATGTGATATACACATTTGTAAAAGCTGTGCAAATAAGCACTCTCAAAAATAGTTCCTCAAGGGTTCTTTAGTAAAGATATTTGTTCTATCTAAAACCATGAACACTGAAAGAACCCTTTGCTTGGGTTGAATGGTTCTTTGCATGGTGAAATGGTTCTTCAGATTGATGGAGAATGTGTTGTATATGGTTCTGTATATCACCAAAAGGGTTCTTCTATGGTTGTCAAGCTTTTAACAATAGAAGAACCGTGTTTGGTTTTAAAAATGCAAATGGTTCTTTGGGTGTTCAAGGTTGTATATAGACCCATTGTCTTTACTGAAGAACCCTTGAAGAACCTTCTTTTTGTGTGTGATAGAAGGAGTTATACTGTGATACAGTAAGGAGGTGTTTGTTAGGTTCAGTTATTTTATTGGCTAAGAACTTCATACAATATCTATACAGTTACTGTAAGTGTGAGGGACAAAAGGCCCCTGTTTTACCACTTTCTCAAAGATAATCGTCCTCCTGCAATCAGAAAGCTGTGAGAATCTACTTGAATTTGGGGCATTCTGCATAAGTAATCTGTTTTAACACGTCGTCGCTGTCCAAAAAAGCCATGTAGCCATTGTGATCTTTATTTTTATAAGATTTTTTTGAAAATAGCAACTGCTTTTTACATGGTATAAAATTTAATGATGAATGGACAAATAGAAATTATCAAAAAGTTTCCAAAACAAAGATAAATATTATGCCAATATTTTTTTTTAAAAGTACTTTCTTCCTTGCACACGTAGGATGGATTTCAAAGTATTTTGAGATACTAATACCTGTTCACTTCTACTGAAGTACACTACTCCAAAGGGCTGTAGATCCCTGCCTATCCACTTCCTCAGAAATCAAGGGCATTAAAAGATTTTTCCAAAAAAAAGCGAAATCAAATCATTAGGATGTGAACGGTTTTTGTAGTTTGATATGATATTAGATATTAAATATATTTGATATTAGAACCGTTTACACTGGAACCAGATGACTGGATCACTCTAAAAGCTCCCTCGCAGAAAGTTATTACAAATAATGGTTATAAACACACTACCTGATGCTGGAGACAACGTTTTATGATCGTTTTGAGATAAAATAGTCCATGGAATCCATCCATTGTCGGCAGAGGTGTGCATGCAGGGTGCTGTGAAGCAAAGCAGTCCCCAAAGCAAAATGGGTTTTCTCAGATGTTCCGATGTTCTACCATCATTAATATTACATACAAAACTATTACATATAAAAACAGCAAATGCAGATTCACTGGTCTTTTGGATAGTTAATAAAAACAACGGCTATATTTGTGTTGTAGTCATGGTGACGTCTGGTTCCTATCACCGTCACTGTAAAGGAATCTGAGTCTATAAGTTTCTCTTACAATGAACCATTTCACACCAACCACTCTGAATGACTTCACAGCTCAACCACTGAATTATGTCAGTTAATAAAAGAGAGGAAAAAAGGTGGAATTGTGTTTAATAGAGAGGAGGGTTTGCTGCAGTAACAGCCTCGACTCTTCTGGGAAGGCTTTGCACTAAATGTTGGAACATTGCTGTGAGGATTTTAGTGAGGTCAGGTACTGATGTTGGGTGATCAGTTCTGGATCCCAAAGGTACTGAATGGAGCTCCATCACTCCAGAGAACACAGTTGCACTGCTCCACAGCCCGAACCTGGGGGGCTTTTGACCCCTCTAGCTGACGCTTGGCATTGGGCACGATGACCTTAGGCTCATATGAAGCTGCTCCAATCCTATTGGTCAATGCTTTTCTATAGACAGGTTGTTTGTGCACAATTGAACACCTGTATTATTAGCAAAGGGGGCACCTTAAAGTAGGTCAGTTCACTCATTACAAGGACTATGATTAGACTTTTGAACAGATAGTGTAGCTTTGGGTCTACAGCAGAGCCATCTTATGATTTAAAGAGATTGGACTGAATGTTTTAGTTAAACAAGTTAAGTTTGCATTAGTTGTTTTCGCACTAGTGCAGATGTTGCTGTGTTGTATGTTTCATGGTGACCATCTGGTCATAGTGTGCTTGTTTAGCAGTAAGTGGAGTTACATAGAGGCAGACTGTAAAATCTAATGCAGGCAAACATTAACATTAGTATTTTTATGCTAAATTATATGGAGTATACAGTCGTATGCAAAAGTTTGGGTAAAATTACGTTTTGTTGATTTTCTATGTGAAAATAAGTGAACATGTACAGTCCCGTACAGAAAACACACCTCTGCACAGTTTAATATGCAATTATAATATTATTAATTGCTGAATTTAACATATTTGGAAAAAATAGAACATAAAATGTGGGCTGTGCAAAAGTTACGGCACACTTATTGTTTTATTTTTTTCACAATATGTTAAATGTAGCAAACAAATAGAAATTGTGCTCTAAAATGTGCAGAATAAGTACCATATTTAAGCATGTGCTCACTTTTTACCTAGAAAATCAGCAAAACGTCACTTGACTGAGGGGGTGTTCAAACATTTGCATACGACTGTATTTGTGAGTTCTGTTTGTAACAGATTTGTGATCTACTTTTTCTCTCTTCCACTTTAGTCTCTCAGATTTAGTTCCTAATTCATGCCTTGGGTTTAATTTCTTTCTGTTCTGTTGGTTCAGCTGCTGCTGTGCTCTCAGTTTGGAGATTTAGCATTTTATTTTAGACCACACGCTTTCCAAAAAGAGAAAAATAGCTCCTAACTAACTTCAGCTTCAATGTTAGTGGTTAGAAAATAAGAAAGAAATCATTATACTGGTACATTTTGCTTAAAGGGCCAATATCATGGGAAATTGACTTTTCCTTACTGTTTTTTATATGAATAGATGAATTAAAGGTAGTATGTAAACATTGATATGGATGTGCTACGAAGTTCCACTTCAGTTCTATAATTTGCTCAGTACTCGAAGAGTTTAAGACCTCAGGTTGGTTTTTAGTTACCTTTTTTACTACATGTGAAGTAACACTTTTGCTAGAGTGATTAGGCTTCACTGCTGATAATTAACTGAAAGTAAGTGTGTTACAGATTACTGTGCTGCTTGTGAGTGTGATCTACTAGCCAATGCTGGGCCAGGAGCTGTGTTTATATAAATAAGATGGGAAAAATAAGAGCAAAAGCTTCCATTAATAGTTTATTTCTACCCCCAAAATGGTGCTTTAGACCAGGACACCCAATACATATCAACACAAATAACTATATTCCTGCTGTTTTGGTGAACAGCAGGTGTTATAAGATCTTTTTGAGAGAGCTAAAGGTAAAAAGTGCTCCGCTTTTACTCCAGAGTTCAACAGCAGTCAAATGAATCGTAATTGTGCTCCATCCTGTGTAGAGATACAGAGAAACTGACTAATTATAATGTTAGAAACGCTCCTTAACCCAACCAATAAGTGTTGTAACAGTGCCATCTAGTGGCTAGAAAAGAAGAAAGAAATCATTAAATAAAGAAATCATGCCTAAAAGGCCAAGCTGATTGGAAATTTGCTTTTCCTTATTTATTTATTATTTTTTTTAATAAACATAAGGTATTAGTAGTTTAGTAGTTTAAGGTAGCATGAAAACACTGATAAAGTTTCATAACATACCTATAACTGCCAAGTCCATACAGTTCATACACGGAGACTAAGCTGCAAAAACAGACCATTTTGAATTCATTGCATTTGTGATGACGAAAACCAACACATTTACATATACAGGCTTATTCAGCCTACAGCAGTTTAGCCCCACCCCCTCACACCAAAGTTACAAGAAGTGTTTCATTCTGTACTGCTTTCTGAATGAGGCCAGCCAATCACAACAGAGCTTATAGACATACATCCATACATAAGAGCATGATAGCAAAAACAGTATGTTTAATTGTAGAGTACAAATAGAGGTTAAAAATATTAATGTCATCTAAAAATGAATTATGGCTGTTTAGGTTCATAAAATCACACAAATGTCAGGCGAAAAAATTTTAAAGCAAGAAAAATGTAGAATGAGCCCATTAATGCCAAAAAGGCGATGTCTAGGTGATGACAACCCCCTGGATAAAATAAAAGTACCTAATTTGTCATTTTTTGAAGAACATTTTGATTACTAGGTCAGACATGCACATACACTATACTGACAAAAGTACTAGGACACCAACACATCACACCTACAGGAGCTTTTATGAACCCCATTCTAAACCCATAGCCTTTAATATGGAGTTGGTTCCCCTTTACAGCTATAACAGTTTCCACTCTTCTGGGAAGATTTCTACAAGATGTTGGAGAGACTCTGTGGGAATTTTAGCCCATTCATCCAAAAGAGCATTTGTGAGGTCAGACACTGATGTTGGACGAGAGGGCCTGGCTCACAATCTCCATTATAGTTCATCCCAAAGGTGTTTGATGGGGTTCAGGTCAGGGCCATATCATCATCCCTCCTCCAACAAACTTTACAGTTGGCACAATGAAGTCAGGCAGGTAATGTTCTCCTGGCATTCGCCAAACCCAGACTCGTCCATCCGACTGACAGATAAAGAAGCGTGATTTGTCACTCCAGAGAATGCATTTCCACTGCTCCAGAGTCCAGTGGCGTCGTTTTACACCACTCCCCCCGAACGCTTGGCATTGTGCTTGGTGATGTAATGCTTGCAGGCAGCTGCTCGGCCATGGAAACCCTGCCATGAAGCTCCTGGCGCATCGTTTTTGTGCTGATGTTGATGCCAGAGGAGGTTTGGAGCTCTGCAGTTATTGAGTCAGCAGAGCGTTGGTGACTTTTATGCACCTCAGTGCCTCAGCACTCAATGGGTGACCCCGCTCTGTAACTTTACATGGTCTGACACTTCATGGCTGAGCTACTGTGGTTCTCAAATGCTTCCACTTTTCAATAATACCACTCACAGTTGATGGTGGAATATCCAGGAGGGAAGAATTTTTGCAAACGGACTTGTCTCCTATTACAGCAGCATGCTCAAATTCAGTGAGCTTTTTAGAACGACCCAATCGTTCACAAACGTGTGTAAAGGCAGGCTGCATGGCTAGGTGCTTGTTTTATACACCTGTGGCAAATAGACTGAACAAAACACCTGTATTCACTGATTAGGAGGTTTGTCCCAATACTTTTGTCCATGTAGTGTATGTGCTGAGAGTGCTAATACTGTTCATGTTACTATGTTAATAGCTTATACTAGCAATACAGTTGCTATCACTTTGCTGCCATGTCCGATTCTGCCAACCTGTCTTTAGTTCAGCTGTAATTTAAATCCTTGCAGCTTCTATTATTGTTTTTTTTTCTTTTATTGACATTTTGCAACATGATTATATGAATGAAAAATAAGCAGCAGACACAAACAGAACTCTTTATCACGGTTCTTCGTCATTATTCAAAGATACAAGGACACTGACAAACAAGAGGATTGAGGTACAGACCTATGATACATACAGTAATGCAAATACAGTATATACACAGTTTGAATTAACAGAATCAGGTTAATGAGGGTGAAGTATGGGCTCTCTAGGACCCCAAACACTGCACATATTTATCATTTCCCTGCTACATAAACAAATAATGTATTGAAGTACATGCACTTTGCATTTACATCATTTCCACATGAATGATATATAATCATATTGAATATATCAGCACAATCTGTTACTGCCTGAAGTCATCTGAAAGGCAAAACTGTGCTGATGTAATGTTTTTATTCATGTACATATTTGAATCAAGTAAACTCAGTGAGTCACTGTTTCCAGTGTACAACTCAACTCCATTAATGAAGGGCTTGAGAACTGACTGATGAATCAAATCCGTTACAGTACAGCATGGAAAATGGCAAAATGTACAAAGCATGGAGTCAGAGAACAAGTCAAGTACGGTCATATGCGAAAGTTTGAACTCCCCTGGTCAAATGATATGTTTTGTTGATTTTCTGAGTGTAAAAAAGTGAACACATCCTCCACGGAGAACACACTTCTGCACGTTTTAATGCACAATTACCGCTTATTTACTGAGTAAAACATATTGAATAAAAAATATTGGAAAAATAATAAAACACAAAACACATGTTATTTTTTCCGGCATGCTAAATTCAGCAAATAAATAGAAACTGCACACTAATGTGAAGGATAAGTGTGTTCCCTGCAGATGGTGTGCTAACCTATTTTCACTTAGAGAATTAGCAAAACATGTCATTTGACTGGGGTGTTCAAACTTCTGCATACAACTGTAAAGGCTAAACAAAGCACAAGATTAGCAGTTTATCATCAATACACATCTTGTAATATAAAAAAATAAAAAAAACGGAAAAACTTTCAGAGCTGTTAGCAAACATTTATAACTGACTTAAATATTCCATAGAGGAAAAAGGTAGTGTTGTATACGATTCCATGGAGTTGTTGTGTCTTATATAGATCGGAATAAGATATTGGAGGTCTTCTTCTTTATTCGGATTTGCACTGGCATTTTGTGACCTGTAAAAGAAATCAGTTTAAACATGAAGTTTAAGCATGAAACTGTTCTAAATAGACCCACTGCCTTTACTACAGAACCCCTGAAGGACTATCAGAGTGTATGTAATGGATTTATGGATGGGTTTTTCCCATTTTCTAGCTTTCAATAGCAGGCAGAGCTGCTATGATCAGTATTAATAATTCCAGTGAGAGATCCTCTGTGTTTGCTAACACTTGCAGCTGAAGCTAATGGCAGTTTAGCGATTCAGTTACTCTTCTAGATGAGGATGAAGTTGCCCAGCACTATTATACGACCAAATGTAAACTAGAACAGTATGTTAATGTGCTGATTGCTGTTTTGTTTAGTCGTCTCCAATTCCACCCCTAGTTAGGACTCCCCCAATCACACAATACCACCAGCGCTAGGAGGGTGAAGGCCAGCACAGGCTTCTTCCGAGACCTGCGAAGCGCCACCACATCTTTTCGTACTGCCACTTACGCAACGTCATTAGACAGCAAAATGCGTTCGGAGGAAAATACCAACCCCCAGATCTGTTACGTCACCTAACTAGCATCACATTGAGTGATGGGGGAGAAGGTGGGGGGGGGGGCAGAAAGAGTGATGCCAATTGTGCTCTCTTGGAGTCCTGGCTGCTAAGATGCACACGGTGTGGGCGCAGTGCGTCATTTCATATCAGCCAATAAGCTAAGCTAAGCTAAGCAAAGTAGCTAATAAGCCTAATTAGATGCTTTAGAGTGACATAAAATGACCAAAAAGACCAATAAATAATAATCGTTGTTATTTTAAATAGTTCTAGTTGTCTCTCGAGCAGAAGGGAAACGAACTAGGATTAGGACTAGAGCCACAAACTCAGCTGGTTGTCTTTGAATGTGGGGTGGGTAAACACCTGTATAAAGCCAATGCTTCTTTATTAAACCCTGCACTGAAACGTGCGGCTGGTGCTTGTTCAGGATTAACGGAAGAGTGCAGTATTCCAGACAATGCTTCGGCACTTTTCGTGTTTCGGTAGTTATTGCGGAAATGCCCGAAATCATATAGGATGTAATGATTGGTTGGACTCTGTATAATCTGCCTAGCAACCAAAATACATTTTGATTGGTCATATTTGGTTTACGCCCTGTGATGGACTGGCGACCTGTCCAGGGTGTATCCTGCCTTCCGCCCAATGACAGCTGGGATAGGCTCCAGCACCCCACCGCGACCCAGAAGGATAAGCGGTTTAGATGATGTATGTATGTATGTATTTGGTTTACTTTCAAAGAAATAACAAGACAAGTCATCAGTTTGTGCCGTCAGTATTCCGTACACCATCTTCCACAGAAGGAGCAGTTTTCCGTACCGTGTCTTCCTGCATTTTATTTTAGTTTTATGAAATCTAATTGCATTAACTGTTTATATGTTTTTATATTAACTAATATAAACAATGTGTGCAATGAATGAGGCTACCATGGGAAAAAAAGCCTATTGAAGTGAGTGGTGTGAAGCTGCGCAGCTGCAAGGAGTCTGATAATGTAACGTAGCTGACGGTGTGAACTTAGATTAATGACTCAGTATTAAATATACTGTATTTCACGGTGATAATCCACTGTTTAATATTCGCTGGAGTGTTAAATATGATGTTTAAATGTGCTAAAATGCATTTTAACTGGCCATGAAAGTTTTTCCTAACTCATTCACAGTGGCATCCCTTTGTTTCCCCGCCTGCCATTTTCATGTGACGCTTGGTGATGGTCAGATTTGATGTCCAGACTCAGTTTAGATGGTCTTGCCAACCATTTTAATTGAAACAAGCATATATGACAATGTCTCAGATGTATTGTTGATAAATGACCAAAAAAAGTGTTTTTTATTAAATAAATTGGAAAATTTGCAAGCGCATGGAATACATAAATAAATGTATGGAAAACTGCGCTCTTGAGACCATATGACAAAATTGAAGTTATCGATCTGGCAAGATAAGTTTTCTGTTTTTCCAATATCGAGTACAAAATCCTGTTGTTCCACTGCAGTGCTGCCTGCGCTATCCCCCCGAAAGTAAGTTCTTTGCTGTTGTTATGCTTTATTGCTTGGTTATGAAAACATTCTCTGTCTAATCTACAGTCATATATTCAGAGTTTGTGCTCCACCTTGTGATAACTGATCAAACCATTATTATCATGGCAGTTTTTGTTCAAATTCTGTACAATAATATCAGCACTTGCTTCAGAGTTTAGCATGAGGTCTAATCAGTGAACACAACAGCATTAATGAACTTCATCAGTGTAGAAATAATATGAATGATTGAGCACTAGTGACGCGTTACCTGGCATGCACTTTTTCATGCAAAGCTTCTTGGTGGTGAAGTTGTTCTTGTTGCCCCCACAGCCACTGTAGCGGAACACCTGGCAGCGTTTAACCCTCTGGCTGTACACATATCTCCTCTCAGAGCCGGCACAGTCGCCCCGATTAACCGGACTCAGGCAGATGTCTGGAAGAGTGAATTCTGAAATCATAGACCGAGAGGCATGAGAAGTCACAACAACTCCAAAGCTCCGAAACAACACTCAAGTGCAGCAAAGAGAAAAATCATCACATTCTCCTCTATTAGTGAGCGAAACATGGACTCAGGGAGGGTCTCTGAGCAAGCTGAGAGCATTTCCCTACATGGAAGGTGGGTGTGGTGGGAGGGGAGGCTAAATATGATATTACTGGTTAATATTATTTGGCCCTGCCTGCTGGTACACGATGATCAAAACTCAAGAAACATGAAAAAAATGACTAAACTTTCATTAAAGACAATAAACATGTAAACAGGAATTTTGTCTTTTATGATATGATGAATCAGCTTAATATAACCAAGGATATAAAAAAGGTTCTTTAAAGCTATTATATAAAATAATCATATAAAGGCTAAAAAGTTATTTCAAGTTATCAAGTATAAAAGTTGTTTTTTTGGGCCAAAAGTGCAGATACTAAACTTTTAGGTCAATACAACGTTTCTGGTTGTGAGTAGAAGATGAGACGTTTCATTATGATTTGCATTTGATGAATAGGTAGAGTTTTGTTTTGCCGAAAAAAAAATGCTTTATGGTTTTTGACATCTGAACAAATGCAGTAAGTCTAAACCAAACCTGTTGTTATGAAAGGTGAGTTGAATGTAAACTGTAATTCATTGTATAACTCACTGTGTAACTCCAATCAGGTATTTATGGTTGACTTGTATACAAGAATGACAGTAATAACTCTCCACTTTTAAAGCTTCAACTTTATAAGCTGTTCTCTATCCCACATTTATGCATTTTCCAAGCTGTTCAGCCCAAAAAAATAAGATATTTGTTACAAAAATATTTAATCTATAAAATAGTTATTTTACATTATGGATTGAAAATGCAGAATAACCTCCAGAATTCAAAAGTTCAGAAAAGAAAGCAAAGAATGAAAAACGTAAAGACAGACAGTGCCTACAACACAATGCTCATTCAGATTTCTTCATTCTGTATAAAATGCTTTTGCCTCTTTACAGAACAGGTGGTGTCTAACAGGTGCAAATCAGACTAATGGTAAAACTGGTAGTCAACCTCAGTGGTTCCTAAATCAGTCCTCAGGAATAACAAACAATGGAAGTGGTAGCTAGTGAGACTGAATAAGCTGGCTGAAGGTTTCCTTCACTGTCATACTTGCATTGTTTAGTTAACCCCTTAACAAGTCTTGGGCCTGCCGGCGGGCCCAGACTTCTATTACACACTTCAGTAACCCAAGAACAGTTTCATTAGTTAGCACTGAAGTCCCTGTAGTTACTGGATAACAAGCCCGTGAGGGAATTGAACCTGGATCTGTAAGCTACAATAAGTGCTTTTGATTTTGCGGCACTAGGGAATGCACTAGTACCAAATATCAACAGTCCTTTATGAAACTCACTAATAACTTGCCTGGCACAAGCGCAGTGGGTTGCAGTTGTTATTCTCAGCACTGTAAAAAATCATGATGACCTGAAAATTTGAAGATGAACTGACCAACAGAAATGGTCGAAATTACTTGAAAAAACATTTTTCCATTAACTTCCATTAAAAATGAAGAATGTTAATCTTTGTCCTGTAAATTTACTTTTACCTCGTATCTCCGAAAAGGTAACTTTACAGGACAAAGAAAAACATTCTTAATTCTTAAAGTAAATGGAGAAATATATATATATATCTATATAAGTCTGAGAACTTGGGCTGGAGTCCTAGGAAGCTTCTGCCTGTAGCTAAAAGGCCAGCCCCCCCACCAACATAGCTGTAGCAGGCCTAATGCAGGACTGAGGAACAGGGAGGAGATGGGGTGGCGGCGGGATTGCAAACACTCCGTCACGGAAACAGAAGGTGAGGATGTGAATTTATAGGGTGTTAGATTGGAAGAAGGAGGTATTTCAGGCATGTTCCTCCCCCAAACTTTAGTTATAAAATAACTACTGTATATATATATATATATATATATATATATATATATATATATATATATATATATATATATATATATATATAGTGCACTAATTATTTTACAACTTATCTGCAATAAGAAAAAATGTATATCATGACATCCTGTATTATAACATTACATTTTTGCCATATTTCCCACCTCTATTTGAACTTGAACTGGTTCTGTTTAATTTCATTAAACAAATTATGCAAGTATTTTACAGATTTGGCTTTATCATGTCTGCACACTATTTATGGAAGCCAAACTTTCCAGCTATAAATAACAGGCAGTGTCTGAGCACCAGGCGGTGATATCTTCTCTAACGCAGAGAGCATTAGTTCACTGTCGGCTGGGCAGAAGGGGGGAAGAATAATGTCCGCTCTGCTGCCCTCTGGCCCTCGACACACAGGACATTCGGCACGCACACACTCCGCCGCCTGCCCTCCCTCATCTTCTTACAGTGTGCGCATGAGTGAGTGTGTGTGTGTGTGTGTGTGTGTGTGTGTGTGTGTGTACTCTCATATTTCTTACAGTGTGTCGACCAAATCTCCTCACAAATAATGTAAACAAATCGATTGTTAGGTCTATTCTGATAATCGTGACATCTGAATATTCATTTTAATCAATACTGAATATTTAATCCAAATGATCTGTCTGTCTTTTAGGGCTGCACAGTACTGATATTACAAGTGAGCCTGCTAGTAAATATGTTTTGTGTGTTGTGTGAGAATCCTGACCAATCACAGATGTTTTAAATGAATGGTTTTTTGGTATTTTGATAAAATAAGACATATGAAATCATCATTTTGCTCAAACTGATGCAGGTCAGCCTTTAACTACGTCACATTGAATGTGTTTACATGCACGCAATAATCTGATCCTACTTGGATTTCTGCAGTTGTCTGATTATGCAAATGGTCATTTAAACAGCACACTGATTTCTTAGATAGGAGTAAGGTCTAGAAATCTGATTAAGGAATCTGATAAAGAGGCTGGATTTCAGCTCAGTAATCAGATTTCTCAGTGCATGTAAACTCTTACTCTGATTTCTTTCGGATTTCTCAGTCTGAGCATGTGCGAAAACAGACTGCAGTACCAGAAATAAGCGAGCAGTGTTGCCACGAGACACTTCTGGAGCAACGCTCAAACGAAATACATGCTTGATGAAATGAAGGATTTAAATATTCTTCATCTTCTAGATGATGTATGTTGATATTTTCATTTAAAGCAGCTCAATGTTTAAAAAAACCTGCGGTATGAAGTTTGAGTTTCACATTACGTTTACGTCACATCTTCTTCTGTGAGTTTATTGGCTGGTTGCAAAGCAGAAATCCGATTACTGTCTGACTCATGTAGACCTGGAGTTTCCCATTATCTGATTACTCAAGTGCATGTAAACGCGTTGATTGGATTACTGATTGTAAATGCACTCATTGTGGATTCACCAGTGTGTTTTACAATATCGTAATGCATACTGCTATAGCAACATGAAATATAAATATAGTACAGCATTTTAGTCATATAGTAGGTACATTTCTATCTATCTGTCTATCTATGTACGGTAAGTATAGTTGGTAAAGGGTTGGGCTTGGCTGATCAGGGGCAGATTAGGAGTTAATATTAGATTAGTATTTAGAAAAAAATCATTTTGGAGACATATACACTACATCACTGTTCAGAAGTTAATAATCATTGCTTTCCATAATCTAAACATGTATTTAACAGATGCATGTATAAAATAATGCTTATGTAATCGTCTTGTTCAACTTCACAGGTTCTAAATAATTAGTAGGACACTAGAAGGAAAAAGGGATGACAAACAGAGCTAAACAACATATAGTTGTGCAGATGTTAACTTATTTTCACTTAGAAAATCAACAAAATGTGTAATTTAACCCGCGGTGTTTAAACTTTTGCATACAACTACATATGTATGATATTAAAACAACTGAAAAACTCTTCAAGAACGAGTATCCCCAATTCCTTTTATTGGTGATTAAATCGCAAGGCCTATAAGTTGACAAAAAAAACTGTAAATTAATAATTACAGTATTTATAGATTAATTTCACTTATTTTTTGTTTCCAACTTAATCATTATAATTGAAAAAAAACCCAAAAATCTAAGAATACCTTTTGGTTCCAAGACATTGATATTTAAATCTACACTGCACAAGTCAATATTATATATAAAATGACAACAATTATTAATAACAATTATTAATCTTAACTCAAAGCTCTTACTTGTGTCTTTCTCTACCTGTGGCTGGATGCCGGGCAGCAAGTGTACTGTGGTCTCTGTGAGCCTCTCTGAAAGGAACAGAAGTTCAGTCAAGGTCATATTGTTACTCAGGTAATAATTTCATATTTACATTAAATATAACAGTTTCAAAACATTATTTAGACATTGAGCTGTTAGCTGACTAACTGTACAGTAACAGATGGCACTAAACAAATATATATGTCAATTGTGAGATTACTGTGATGTTCTATAAACAGTGTACAGTAGCTGATATTGCCTTGTATGTAAATGATTTTTATAGATGTGCAGTTCCTGTTTCTGAAGACAGGTGTCAGTATATCCTTCATCATTAACAAATGCATGCATTTCTTTTAAAATAGTGTTAATAAACATAGTAGGGCTGCCACGATCAGCTGACTGCAGCAGCAATTTCACAAATCAGTGATTAAAATGTTCTTTTCCAATTAGTTGGCATTTTACATTATGATGTGCATTTTAAATTCTCCTACTGATCTGTTTTTCACAGTAAGAAACAGAGCCTGATAGACTGATAGTCATATGCAAAATTTGAACACCCCCCTCAAGTTAGGCCTAAAGTCTATTTTATTACATTTAGACGGAGTTTAATCTAATTTTAATGACTTTAGTTCAATTAATTTTTGATTTAGAGAGAAAATTAAACTCACAGAACAATATAGACATACAGTCGTATGCGAAGGTTTGTATGGAGATTACATGTTTTGTTGACTTTCTATATGAAAATAAATTAACACATCCTCAATGGAGATTACAGTTAAATATGACACTTTTCTGCAAATGTTAGTGCGCAACTTCTATTCATTTGAGTTTAATAATTTGGATGTGTTAACTTAGTTTCACTAAGAAATTCAACAAAACATGATGTCATTTGGCCAGGGGTGCCCAAAATTTTGCATACGACTGCACATTCACTTCATGTGTCTTTGCATTTTGTGATTGTTACATATTTTAATGTTTCTCTAGCTTGTCCATTTTAAGAAAAAATAATGTAACCTTTGAAAAGATATAGTTTGTTATTGGTGAACTAAGTCTATTTGTTTATTTCCTTATTTATTTACTTAATTATTTATTTATTTGGTCTGATTGTTTGATCAATCATGAAAAGAACTCTTCTGTTACTTGATTACTAATATAATCAATACTGACAGCCATATGTGACATTAACACTTAATAACAGTGACTCTTCTTTGCTAATTAGGCTAAGTATTGTAATATTCTCATATACATTAAAGTCACAGTATGTAATATTTAGAGATTTGGAGACCTCTCTGGTGGAAATGTGCACTTGCATGCAACGTGTGGGAGAACATTTTGTAACATGGGCTATGTATCGGACCCCTTCCCCGAGGGGATGAATCTGATGATTATGAATATTGAAAGAGAATTCAAAGAGAACTCAGTCTAAACTTGGTGAAGGACGTGTAGTCTGAGGATGTGAGTGAATTATTTACTATCATCATCAAATCTTTATCAGTATAACATTGATTTTTGCATGTGAGACCTAAACATTGAGCTGGACCTTCTTTTTGAGCCTGTGTGTGTGTCGTTAGCACATAAAGATGTAAGATGTGGTCCGAAAAGCTCCCAACCCGACGCCTCTGACTTTTAAATGATTATTTCAGGCTTTACAGAGGGACTCACAGCAGTGCAGGCTCACCATATTTTAGCCTGTTTATAGTCTCCTGACTCCGTAATGCCACTTCTTTCGATTTTAACAACATTTGACAAACAAATCTTAGTGCAACTTTACTGACACTACAGTGAAAACACAGTTTATGCATGATTAGCTGAGGAGCAGATGTGGTGTAGCTTTTTTACCATGTGTAATGAGAGGTGCTCCAGAAGGCTTGGCCACATCCCCAGGTTTTGGGTCACGTCTGGGCTCCTCAGTGTCATTACCTGCTGAGATAAGAACACATTTCTCTTACCCTCTGCACTTTAATTTCTCTTTAAAACATCTTCTGTCATCACAGAGTGCTGGATATCGCTGGTTTATTGCATAATTACTCAACGGCTCTGTTCTGCTAGACACAATCCAGCGGCTTTTTAGGATTATTTATGTGTTGGAGAGGCATCTGAGCCAGCAAAGCCTATTTGAATAAGACACAATTGTCTCCTTGGCCAAAGCAACACTTGAGTAACTTTGGCTTCGCTCCACTTGCTGAGAAGCCTTTTCTTTGGTGCCGACAGTGAAAATGAACACAGCTAATTAGAGGCAGGTTGAATATGTGACTGGATTAAAATAGTCAGACGCCAAAGTACCACAGGGTGAAGGTAGTTTAGGGCAGAGCAGACAAAAAGGCCAGGAGACTTTATCATACTGATGGTTTGAATGACAACTTTGACTGTTAGTAACACTCTTAAAGCGGAATTCCACTGATGTAGAAACAAAAATGTTCATGATTGAACAATTAAGATGGAAACAAGGCCATTTAGAGTGGTTTGTTGTGCAATGCTTCATTGTAGAGAAACTTACTGACTCAGATTTCTTTACAGTGAAAATAGCATTTCATCTGCTTTCCTAACTGACCAATAAATCAGTGTCTTCTGAGCTTTTTTAAAGCTGGAAAAAAAATCTTTGAGGACTATTTTGCATTACAAGGCCATGCATGTGCCTCTCTGCCAAGAATGGCATTTAAACAGTACATTTTAAAGGAAAACCTTCTCAAAACTATCATAAAATATGATTTATCAGACATCAGGCAGCAAACTCATGATTTCATGTAATAGCTTTCTGTGAGGGAGCTTTTAAAGACATTAAACTCTTCAGATGTCTGGTTCCTATCACCACCACTGTGAACAATCCAGGCTCTCTAGTTTTCTACAGAACAGCGCAATCCACATCAAACCACTCCGACTTTGTTTGCATCTTAAAAATGTAATTATAGAGAAATTTCAAAACATTGGTGGAATTCCCCTTTAATCAACAGGGCCAGGTTAACACAGAATCCCGAAAATAGCTTTAATATGCAGCACATACGCTGACATCTGTTTTGGCACTCTTTAAGGGTCTTGAAGTTGTTTGCGTTCCCGAAGCAGCCGCCGTAGAAGAAGCGTCTGCACTCCTGTTTCTTGCTGTCGAAGAAATAGCGGGGCACCAGCCCCCGGCACGGACCCGGCTCGTCCTCCAGGTGACACGGACTCTTATTGGCTACAAGGGAGGGAGAAAGGAGAAGAGTCAGCTTGGGAAAAAGGAGAAAAATAAATTGCCACAGGCCGTAAATCATGTGCTTTTTATAGCCTCTGCAGTCTCTAAGTGAAGCCTAGTGGGAGAATTCTCACACTCTTGGGAGCAGCACATACAGGACACTGAAACGCTGCACATTAGCCTTTAGAACTGCCAGTTATCAGTGATAAAAAGAAGTGTGGAGTCATTTTATATTAATTATAGTCATAAGTCTGGACACATCTGGTCAAATGACATGTTTTGTTGATTTTCTAAGTGTAAATATATTTACAGATCCTCTGCAGAGACACACTTCTGCACATTTTAATGCACAAATACTGTTTATTTACTGAACTAAACACATTGCAAATAAATAAAACATAAAAAATAAAATGTGTCATAATTTTTTTGGTAACACTTTCTATGAATGTCATCTTTGTAAGCATCTATAAACACATTCATAACATGTTATAATGCATTCATAAGGCATTATAAACATGGCTATAAATATTTTTAAAAATGCATTATACATTATAGCCATGCTGATTATGCGTTATGAATTGTTAACATAATACATTATAAGTACTGATCATAACAAATTATAAGAGCTCATAAGTTGTATTAGTCCTCTCTAAGTAAAGTGAAGCGTACTGTACTAAAGCCTCCTCCAGTGAGGCTTCAAGTTGAAGTATTTACTGAAGGATTTACTGAATCACTAAAACATACACAGTAAAGCACATTACAGGCTCCAAATGTCAGAGTTTAAACTAGTGCTGCCATCAGTGTTTTACCCAATGTGGGAAAGGTAATGTACACCACCGTTAGCCTGGTATTTGTCTTTACTTTACACTCTCCAAGCTGGGACTGACTTCTTTGGCACTGACATTATAACATGTTATTAACACTATTTATAATGCATTATATTAACAATTCATAATGTATAATAAACATGGCTATAAAGTGTAATTCAGTGTAATTCATTTTTATAATTGTTTATAATCATGTTTATAATGTTGTATGAAGGCATTATAACATGTTATAAATGTGTTTATAGATGCTTACAAATGCGACATTCATAGAAAGTGTTACCAATTTTGTTTTACAATATGTTAAATTCAGGCTATAAACACTCATTGTGCATTAAAATGTGCAGAAGTGTGTTCTTTGTAGAGGGTGTGTTGCTTTATTTTCAGTAAAATCAACAAAACATGGCATTTGACCAGGGGTGCTCAAATTTTTGCATATGACCAGGTCTGAAACATGTAGTACATTTTTGGATTCTAAACTTTCAGCGCAGGCCACGATTATATAGAAGAGGAGATATTTCATTATAATTTGAATTTAATGAAATATTAAGGCTGCAGCCACTTACATATTTCTCAGTAATTATCCATAAATCAATAAATATGAGCTCGTGAGCCGTGATCTGAAACTCTACTTCTGGTTGTACTTGCAGTGAGCCATCAGAAACCACTTTATTCATTCTTAACGTCAGTTTAATGTTAGTCGAAAAAAAGTACTTACTTTGAACATTTATTAAACATTATAGATGTTCAGTTCATCAACTAACTATCTGGTGAAACTCCATATATGACTCTCAACAGTGTTAAGGTTAGGGTTAGGATTAGGACCAGGGCTGGAGTTAGGGGAAAACCGTGAATGTGATAGATGTTTACACACTTGAAAAAGATGGTTCTTCAAGGGTTCTGTAGTAAAGGGAATGGTTCTGTTTAGTTCTGGATGTTTCTTTGCATGATGAAATGGTTCTTCAGACTGATGTAGAATGTGTTGTATATGGTTCTATATAGCAAGGGTTATTCTATTGTTACAAGCCTGACACCATAACAATAACAAAACCATTTTTGGTGCTATATAGAACCATTTTCAAAAAGGCTCTACACAGAACCTTATACAACACATTCTCCATCAATCTGAAGAACTGTTTTACCATGTAAAGAACCATTTAAGCATGACATAGTTCTATACAGAACTCAGTGTTCTAAACAGAACCTCTGCCTTCACTAAAGAACTCTTGAAGGACCATCTTTTTTAAGTGTGTAGTTGAACATAAGTGAAATGTTAGGTGAGCACCTGTTAGGCATTTACAGTGGGCTTTCAAATGAAGTGTTACTGTGATTTTTAATGCACTGAAACTTTCACTCTGATGAGCTCTTTTCTTTAACGCTTGAGGGGGAAACATCGAGCAGTACTGGTAAAAGGTTATCAACTCAAACAGCCCATTCTGTTAAAAAAGTTTCGGGTGGTGCTATGTGATTGAGGGAGTCCTAACTAGTGGGTAAAACTGGAATATGACTAAAATGGGGAAAAAATTACCCCACCACCACCACCAATACTCACTAATTATTGTACTAACTAATGTGAGTGTTTTCAAAACTTACCACTGAACTTAAAACTCAGACTTGGGTATTAAAACTCAGACTTGGGTATTAAAACTCAGACTTGGGTATTAACAAGGCCTTAGACTTTGACTCTCACCTCTGGTGTGAATGTAAACTGTACAAAACATATACTGATTATTACTGTAAAACATTTGTGGTTTAAAGCAATGAAAATATTGATATTTATCAAGAATTTCATCAATTTTTCAGAATTGCTTATCGCCCCAGCCCTAGTGCATGCAATCCTGCTGTGTGGTAAGAAAACCTATTCTATATATTTTTATTTACTTACTTACTTTTTATTTATTTTTTTACTTATTTATTTATTTAAATTTCTGACATCAAATCACACAGAAAAAAAACAGAATTACAGACCCTGTCAATACAGAATGTAAACAGAATGTAACTGTAATTCATTATTCAATATTACATACTGTAAAATACATTAGGTAACATATAGTAACTTCACTCAAATAGTAAAGCAAAACAGCAATAATAATGCTACATTTCTAAGGGTTAAACTGTATTTGTGCAGATGGTACGTTATCAAGATTTAAAATAATAATAAGCTTGTTATTAAACATATTGACCCACGCTTTTAAAGGATTCTGAATGTCCAGCATTTAAACCTCACAGAAACCTGAAAGTCAGCATAATATAGCATAACATAGCATAATATAGCATAACATAGCATAATTATACACCCCCACAAAAATACTTCTTCTCCATGGCTGTTTATTGCGGAGCTCTACATCAGCAGGCAGCTCTCACTCGGCTGAGAGATTCCCCTGGCTATGCGCCAGGCTGGGTCAGGGTGATTGATGTCCTCCAGCTTCATCTATAGCACACATCCTGCTGATAAACGGCTGCCTCGGACCCCCAGGCCCTCAGATAAAAACTCAACACCTTTTTATCTTTGTGATGCAGAATTTATTGATGGAAGCCAACAATTGAAACACTTCACTTTAGGCAGATATGCATCACATCAGGTAGCGCTAACACTGCATTCCCCTTTTCCGCTCCATCCTATCTGCTACGTGTTGTGGTCCAAAATGAGCTGCAGTTTGGTCTAGTCTCATTATGATTGTCATCAAGATCATGGTTACACCAAAAACTCCACCTTATTCACTTAATATCATGGTTTCCTGGTCCACTCTCCACCCTGTTCTGTTCCTGCTGCTGTTCTGTAAGCTGTCTCCTCAGCTCCGCCCCCCTAACATTACACTCACCTGTCTCTTATTGTTCGTCCCACCCTTTAAAGGGCCCATATGCTACATTTGTCTTGTTCATTTCTGCTGTTTGTTTAGGTTTATGTAACAAAAACAGTCATAATTCATTTTTACATTACCATTTTATGTTCTCTCTTTATCCCTGACACTCTTCAAATGATGTTTTTTCAAAGATCTTTTAGTAAAGAAGATGTTTCTATACAGAACCATGAACACTCAAAGAACGCTTTGCATGTTTAACGGGTTCTGTACATCATAAAAGTGTTCTTCAGATTGGTGGAGAATGTGCTCTAAATGGTTCTATATAGACCTTTTTTGAAAAGAATTCTATATAGCACCAAAAAAGATTCTGCTGTTGTTACGATGTTTAGCCTGTAACAGTGGAAGAACCCTTTTTGGTTGTATAGAACCATTTTCTGTACTAAAGAACCCTTGAAGAACCATCTTTTGTCAGTGCGATTAAACAGGCTGTTTATGTCACTGTGCCTTTAAGACTGATACATGTAAATATGTGAATGTTCTGATTGGCTGCTCTCCATTGTGCTTCATTTAAAAAGCAGTCCAGGCTGAAACACTCCAGCATGGATGGGCGGAGCTAAAGTTGTGTCGACTGAATGTATGTTAAATGTGTTGTTTTAATGACATCTTTATTCATGTTTTTAATACAGTTTTGTTTTCCATGATATGGTCTTTTTAAACAAAGTTTCCTCAGTAGCCGCGTTTACATGCAGCCTAATAATCCATTGATAATCCAACTAATAGGTCAATCGGCACAGAATACGTCCATGTAAACACCTCATTTAGAATAGACTAGTCAAATAAAAGAGTTAAATAGAAGAATAATAACCGTGTAAACGCCTGTATCTGATTACATTCCCTATCAGAAAGTTTAAGTCTGTTCTGATCATGTTCGTCACGTCATAGTGAAAGTTTATACCGTTCAACATGGTGGAGCAGAAACTGGTCTGCAGAGGAGACGAAGTTTATGCTCTGATCTCTAAAAGACGGCGGTGGGACGGACGTCCAGCTTATCTGTCTCAGAGCACGACGTCTTCCTCTCGGCCTTCTTTAATAAGGACATGTGAAGGACGTTTTCCTGAGTCTGACATCATTTTAAAGCAACTAAAAACACAAGCGCTGCTCACTGCTGCTCATCTCTCTCTGACTGGACTCACGTGATGCTCGTTGTCATGGTAACGTCTACACTAAGTGGTTCTCTACGCATACATGTCATTACTTGTAGTGAGTATGTAAACAGATTTTCCACCAGATTGTTGAGCAGAGTGAGAATAAACACCTCAGTCTTAATCTATAATCTGAATGTGTTCAATCAGATTGGCAAAAATCTTTGCATGTA